TAGAAATAGGCAAGGAAAATGCTTGGTGTTCTTGAGAGAAGAAAAAGGGAGAAGGTACTCAGGCGAGGAGAAAATCGTATTCAATGTCCTTTATTTACCCATATTTAATATAATCAAAGCATTTCTTACTCTCTCCATGTATTTTTAGTACTGTACTATACAATTCTTTGTCTAAAATGCCTAAAGATTGGTGTGACATGAATAGGGTCTGTTGCATGGAGTTATTCCTAAATATAGAGACGCTTCTCTGTAATCGGCTAGGACTCTGTTCCTTGGCCCACTATGGTTTCAAGGTAACCATTTGAGATTGAAAATTAGCTCTGTAAGTCATGGTCCTTCATGTTAATAGTATAATGAAATAAGCACCACTTCAAGGATGACTTTTCAAGTATTTGCATAGAATTACCCCATTTCCCATAGCAAAGAGAGAAACTGTCTGAGCATGCTCCTGGAACACTGAAGTCATCCACTTCAATACCCTTTTCTTTTCTCATTCTATTAAGTATTTAGCATGTGAGAACCTATAGGCTTTTGTTATGTCTGTTTTCCCCTGAATCAGAACACAGTTTCCTCATTTCACCTTTGTATGTCCGTAGTACCAATGTGGGCAGTGGGCTGGGCCAACAAACTGCATACTTTAGAGCCACGGACAGTAGTGATAGAGATGATTTGGCAAGTAAATTTTTAAAAATGCAGAACATCTTGTCCTTTATAATATAAGAGCATGGTAAAACAAGAGCATTGAAAACAGCCAGACAGGAATGCAAATCCTCTTCTCAATCACTTGCTGAGTGACCGTGGGCAAGTAACCCTTGTCACTCCGAGCCATGTTTTCATCTTTCAAATGGGGATGTGCAACTTGCAAGTTTGTGAAAGGCTTATAGAAAAAATATGTTCAATGTCTTTTACATAGTGGATACTTAATAAACTGTACCCGTTATTATCATCTCTGAACCCTGTCCATATTTCTTCCTATGTTTGGATGGCCTTTTTCCAGGAAAGGGGAAAAGATGAGAAATGTGTTCATGGCTTTACCCCCTCCATGCTCGTTGCTTCCTGCATCTGTGCCACCTCCCTCCTCCTGCCTCAGACCTTAGGAACCACTTGGGCAACAGAACATATTAATGTTCGTAGAGTTTATCTATAATAACCTTTAAATATGACTACAATGTTTTATAAAGTCCTAGAGACTACCAATAACATATTTAAAATATCCCTCTTTAAATTGGTGTTACTAGAACCTCCTGGAGGGGTGTGGTTACTAAGGAGTAGACGTGTTACCATGATTTTTAAGCCCTGGGGCCTTCTAGAATCTATACCCACTGTCCTGGAGATCTCTTGCAAATACCTTAAGACAAAATGACAATATTTCTGATAAGTTTAACATGTACGTAATTTCATGGCAATTTAAGGGAATTGTGTATATTTTGTTTGTTTGCCTGTTCTGTTTTTCTGTAACTTTTGGCTGAAATTCAATTCCTATCCATATTTAACAACAGGATAACTAATACTATTTAGTAAGAAAAGGGAGTACCCTGAAACTTTGATTAAGAAAAATAAGGCACTTTACCTGAACAAATTTCCAATGGATCAATTTAAAATGAAATTAAGTAGCACTTAACTGGTTTGCACATTGGGACCTATTTATCTCAGCAAAATGATTAAAGTCTTGATTTATCCCTAAAATTGGCTTTATTACATTTAATTACACTAGAAGCTTGTTAAAGACTTGTAGGTTCTCTCTGTACCTTTAAACTGCACTTTATATAGGCAATAATAATTGAATATTGGGTAGAATAACTTGATTTCTAAAGAAATATGTCTCTAATATTTTTCCTCTTTTTATTGCAGAAATTGAAACAAGTTGAAGAAACAAAAGAGGATCCTGAGAGTAGATTATCTAGAATTTCCCTGGAGTCATTCAATAAATATAACAGCAATACTGTGATTTTATTAGAAAAAGAGGACTCTCTGAACAAGGTTGAAGGACGAAAGGAAGAAAAAGAAAAAAATGAAGAAGCATCTTTGAGTAACTCAGACAGGCCTGGGGTAGACAATTTGGAATCTTTGAGTGATTCCTTATATGATAGCTTCTCTTCCTGTGCAAGTCAGGGTTCAAATGACACATAAAGGACTTTTTTCCCGTTAGTGAGCTTGAAATGGAGCACTTAAGAAACAGGGGCGGGTAGGCGCAGGTAGAGATGACAACAATAAACTATTTACAACACCAGGGCCTATGTTGTTAGTTTCACTGCAGGCAACCCACAGCAGCTTTCCTCTCGGACAGGGCAATAAAGATAGACTCCACTTGTGTTTCATGAGGATTAAAAGTAAACACACCCACAATACAGAAGTCTTAATTTTGCACTTTTTTTGAATACTTGTACAGAAGTTGTAAATTTTTTGGAAAAGAAATTATATTTGTAGCAAAAAGAGAAGCAATAAATTGAATCGGTGCCATGCTCTTGAAATGATGTACTAAGTCTTTTAGACACGGATGATAATATATTTTTTAAAAATTCCAACTAAAGTTTTGCTCAGTTCATTGTCCTAGTGCTCAAAATTGTCTGTGGGTACACTCTGTAAACCATTTTAAAATACGACCTGCCTCAAAAAACAGAGCGTTCATTGTAATCTCCATCTCACATCTCAATTTGATAGCAACTTTAATTCTAGTGCAATTTCAAAATTGTTGCCAGAGAGATTCAGGTTCTAGTAATGAGTGTAATTCTGCTTCTTCTGAAAAATGTAAAGGGTACTGAAGTGTGACATTGATCCATAGGGATGTGTATCAGAAGTGACCTGATTCTATTTTCAATAGTATGTTTTCCCTTCAAACATTTCCTTACATCCTCTTCCACTTAGTGCTTCTCTGTGATTCTGAACATTTGAAAAATTTTTATTTTCCTGCTCTTTTTATTAAAATCTGAGCAATCTAGAATGAAAGCAAATTTCTATCTGCAATGTTGACTTTAAAAAAATTAAAATGGTTGGTGCTATGAAAAATTCTCACTTTTTAATATCCCTTTTTTTCTACAAAGTCTGTTTATATGTAAGGATAAATTCTATTTTAAAGGTTATGTGTATTTTTTCTAGATGTGAACTATTTATAATTGCTTTTGTACAGGAGCTTGTAAACTAGGCATAATAAAAATATTTTTAGGACCTATATGGTTACTTTAGTACACACTTGTTGTTTAAAGACTATGTATGACCAGTGTTATTTGGTAAATTTGTGCAATTGTTATATTTGAATTTTGTTGTCTTAAATGAAAATTATGTAAAGTGTCATCTTTCAGACTTTTAAAAATTCTTTTGTTTCATTCTGAATAAAAGTCATATCACAATTGAACCCTCTGAAAGCTTAAAAGAACTTGTTTAAAGAGACTTTGGCCCAGTTAGTTAGTTGAATCTCACACGTCCTCCAAGAATGAATTCCCCAAGGAATAAATAAGCTGGCTCTCTTTTTCCAGAGACAGTAATTCAGCCAATTTTCAGATCAGAGTCTGCAGACAAACGGGTAATGGTCAAAGCATTTCAGTCTCCCCCAGCGGTTAACTAGCTAGAAATGAAAGGAAAAGGGAGGGAAGAAGCCTGAGGGAGATTTAATTCCTCTGCAGAGATCATTCCACAAGAAAGTCATTTAAGCCCATTTCCAGACCTGCTCTGTTGGCAGGATGGGGAAATAAATGATCAGCGTCCCGGCCTGCGAGAGCTGCCTCCAAGACGGGGCCCGAGGAGAAGGTGAAGAGGGGCAACGCTTCTGAAGCTATTTCCACAGAAATGAATGCTCCGTAGGGATTTGGGGGTGGGGTGGGGTGGACGCGGTGGGAACCTGCGGGACTGGGGGCGGGGGCATCAAGACTCCGGCGGGCCGGCGGACTCCTCTACCACCTGCTTCAAGGCTCAGCGGCGAGAACGGCGAACACAGCGAGCGTAGCCCGCTTGGGGCTACTCAAGGTGGGCCGCTGGAACAGGAGCGGAAGAATGGGAGGAGGGAGGAGGGCGGACCACTCGGTGACCGAGACCTGGGCAGGGAAGGCGCGGTACAAGCGAGGACGCGGAAGCATATACTAATGACCCATGCATGGCTTTGAGGAGAACAGAATGAAGCTACCCGGCCTTTCGGAGGAAGGCGATAGAGGACAGCAACTCCCTTTTTCACGCCCATTTGCTTTCTAGTGGGAGCTCGCGACGGTAGTCCCCGGAGTGGCCCTCTCCTAGCACAGTGTCACCGCGCCCGCCAGAGGTGCGCGCAGGCAGACGAAAGGAGGGCTGCCTGGAGCTAGCGCTCCAGTCCGGGCAGGGGCCCCGCTACACCCCGCCCACCCTGCCGCGGCTGAAGCTAAGCCTGGCCGTGACGGAAGCGCTACTCGGAGGAAGAGAAGGCGCAACTGAGCGGGACACCCTAGGGCGTCTGCAGGTGTGCAACTTTTCCAGACGCACAGGAGCGCGCCCCCAGCCCCAGCTGGGTGGACCAGGCCCTGCTGTTGGGAACCCTACGGCCGCGGGGAACTGGCCAGACCCCGGAGCGCAGCGGTCGTAGGGTGTGCGCACCTACGGCCAGAGGGCCCGCGGGCCACGTAGTCTTCCGAACCCACCTCGCAGGTCCCGCGGTCAGCGTCCAGCCGGTCCCCGCGGCACCTGCTGCGCCCTTCTCACGCTGCACCAATCTCCAGCCTCCCCACCTCGGAAAACTAACCCCCGCCCCGGGTTCCTGTCCTAGGGACGCGCAGAGGCGGGGGAAGAGGGGGATAGAAAGAGGGTGGGGACGTGGAAAGACAGTCCCAGCCTACCCTGCCCGCCACCCCCACCCCAACTCGGCAGCCGTCACGTGGTGCCTGGAATGGGAGGTGGGGAGAAGACGCGAGACTTTTGGGGTGCTCTGGGTCGCCAGCAGTTCCTTCAGTCTCAGCAGACAACTCCGGAGACGTGGCGCTCTGCCGGGGAGAACAATTGAGAGGAACTGCGACCCGCAGTCTGGAGCCCCAGCGCGGGCGATGCGGGCGCCGCTGGCGGCACCTGCGGCTCCTCTCGGCTGCGACGGTCGCCTAGGCGGCAGCAGCGCGGGCCCCAGAAGCCTCGGCAGCCACAGCCGCTGCGGCCCGGGCAGCGGTCGCTGCCTCTGAGGCGCTTACCCGCTCCCGGCCTAGAGGCTCCGGGAGGATGTGGATCCTCGGCATCGCAGCAACATTTTGCGGATTGTTCTTGCTTCAAGGTAAGGCGAATACGCCCGCAGCCCAGCCAGGGGCGCGCACCGCTTCTACCCGCCTGCCCCTTTGCCCAGTGCTGCTCAGAGGTTGCTCCGCTGGAGTTCGGCAGTGGCTGGTGCCCAGTGGCTCTAGGTGGGAAAGTCTCCAAGTCCCGCGCTGCGGGAGGGGAGGCAGGAGCCGTGGATTTGTAGGACTCGAGCTGCAGGTGTTCGGGCTGCACCTGTCGTAAGAAGGGCTGGGGAGGCGGGAGGGTCCGAACGACGCTGGGGCCTCGGAAAGGGAGAGGGCACTGATGGCCCCCAACCCGACCAAGTTTCTGGCGTCTCTAGCAACCCGTGGGAGTGGCGCCGCCGACCGGCGAGCGGCTCTCTGGGCAGCCTGTGGCTGGGGCGCGCCCGGACTGTGTTGCTGCGCTCGGAGCGCAGCCGATCAGGAGCTGGGAAGGGCGAGCTTGGGAACCTGGCTCACCTGGGCGGGAGCAGAAGGAGTTAGCTGTAAACTGGAGCTCGTAGTCCGAGCGGAGCAGCCGGGCTGGAGGCATGAGAGATGCAAAAGCGTCTCGCTTCTGCTTTCCAGTACGCGACCGTGTTCCGAGCGAGCTATGGAGAGCTGGGACCTCCACCGGGGACCCCGGCCAAACGGTTGCCCAGATAGCCGGGAAGAGAGGGCTGTAGTGTCGCGTCCCTGGGCACACACGCACAGAAACACACGCGCCCCTCCCCAGCCACTGAGACCACCCCTGCTGCTGCGGGAACTGTCAGGGGACTTGGGGCGCAGTAGCACTTCGTGTCTGGCACTCCCTCCTGGGCTCCCGGGTGGTAGCGTAGCGACAGCACAGGAATGCTGACTTAAAAATTTAAGTAAAACTAAAAAGGCATCTGCGAATGCAATTGCGAATGGTGCGAAAACAGTAGTTAACTAATTTGTAACCAATTAACAATTAGGCAAATCGTTCGGCGTAGACTGGAGCTGACGCTTCTTGTCTCTGGAGCTACTTCGCTCTCGGGTTTGTATACCCGTCCTTGAAACTTCCACGTGGAAAGTCCAGGTGTGGTGTTGTGCCAGCGTGGGTCCAGGTGTAGCAGGCAGAATTCCACTTTATCCTGTCGGACCCTTGGTGCCCCCGCCGCCCCCTGCCGGCTTCAGCGCCACAGTGGCCTTACTCGGAAACCCTAAGAGCGCGGAGCACTAGCCACCCCAGCGACTGGATCAGCGCGGGAGGGTCGTGGTATTGCTGGTATCCCGGGTGGTCTTTGTAAGGCTGGACCTGAAGGCCACTGCCTCTGTCCCGCAGGCTTTGCGCTGCAAATCCAGTGTTACCAGTGTGAAGAATTCCAGTTGAACAACGACTGCTCCTCCCCGGAATTCATCGTGAATTGCACAGTGAATGTTCAGGACATGTGTCAGAAAGAAGTGATGGAGCAAAGTGCGGGTAAGAGTCAGGCCACCCTCTCCCTCTCCTCTGAAGCCTGGGTCACGGGTGGGAGGGAGGGGACCATTTAGTTACAGAAGGAGGGACTGACTTTGATTTAATGCCTACACACTGGTTATCACAGACTTATTTTTGCAATGCTGGGAAAATGAAGAGTTTCCAAGTTACTTTAATCTCATCAGATGTAATTACTAGGGCTTCCCCTCAAGGGACTCGGGCAGAAAGTGCATTTAATGAGTGGCTCTCCTCTTTTTATTTACTCCCTTCACCGCCCTCCACTAAAAGCTGATTGGGAAGCTGGAAAATATACGAATAACCCATTTTGCTTGGACAACTAGACAGTTCCCTGTGAGCAATGTCAGCCTAAAATATGAAACTAGTTGAAGTTCACAGAGGGCAGAGCTTGAAAAATGTGTTTTGTCATGGAGCTGCACCACATTTCTTTGAAAAACAGTACAAGATCTTTATTTAATTTTAGAACTAATGCATCACATTCCAGGCACAAATTGCCAAGATCTTTCAAAGGAATATGGTTCCCAGTACCACAAGCCTAGCAGCTAGCTGGCTGGCTGACGAGGGCCTGGGCGTTATGCAAGGGTCCAAGAGGGTCTTGTGAGAGCAATCCTCCTTATTCACTCCCGCTGACTAGAGTTTTCTCACTGAGGCAGAACCTCCCTGCCCCTACCAACATTCTTATCAGAAATCAAAGCCCCTCCACCCCCAAAGAGCAACTGGAATTTTGGGCAAATTGTGATACTGTAGTTTCAGTTCTAGGGTCAAACCATAAACAGAATTTTCCATTTTAAGAATATTGAATAAACGGGAAATAACATCATGTGGCAAACACTACTGAATGAACCAAAGCCCTGCCCCTCTTCAGTGTGCTGAACTGCACTGCCCACAGAGGACCATGAAAGGATCTAACTGCTAAATGACCTCCTTAACCCCTGACATATTAAAGCAAGGGCTATGGGTCTGCAGCCAGTTCCTTGGGAAAGTAGTTTCTCTTCAGAGAAGGGCCTGGAAATGCCTCATTGCAACTACAGTTATCTGAGGAACAGATGTCTTGCGGGTGTGCTATGCTGTGATGTGCGTGTGCATGTGTGTGTGTGGTTTTAAAGCCTGTTCTCTGTTGGCCCTTATCAGCCTGGGTGTGGATTCTTGCCACCAAAATCCCTCTTCTGGGAAATCTGAAATGCAATTGCTCTCAAGAATAACCTGTCCCAAGATAAGCAACATGCATTGTTTTGTCATATGGGATTTGGCTATTGAAAAAGTGAAACAAAACAAAACTTAGCGATGATTCTTTAATCAACATTGACATAGGTGGTTTTGACACGTTGTTTCTTTTCTTCATGTGTTGTTCCTGAGCATTTTGTACCTGAGCAAAAGCGTACTGCCCTTCTACCAGAGGGACTGCTGTGAATCATTGTGAACACTTCGTTACTTCAGAATATTTGCAGTTTTCTTCCAGGCAGTAGATTAGAGCCAGAAAAAAAGGGGGCTGTACTGTCGACATATTAGGAACTTCTTTAGAACCTTCAAGGCCACTGCTTACCTTGTTATCATGTTTTATAACCTGGGATATGGTAGAGATAAGGAGAGAGAAAGATATGAACCAAATTACAGCCAGAAGAGGTGTCCTTTTTGTGAGAGACATTCCTTCCTTTCTAAAAATATACCTAAGATAAATCCACGCATTTCATTTTCCAAGGGTTGTGTTTTGTCTGCTTCATTTTCTTCTCCAGACCACACTGTAAAAAAGGCAGAACAACATTGCCACACCCTTCTTATCCATGAAAAATTTTAGTGTAGACAGTCGTAAGCGCCTGGCCTGAAGTTGCTATTAGCTCAGTCAAGGTGAGCGCCTTGTCTCCAAACCATTTTCCTCTGGCCATATATCCTAGGCCAAGGGGTAGCCAGAACTGAAGTGATAACATAGTGTCAGTTGTGAAGTAAGGGAACCAGTGGATGGGCACAAAGGAAAAACCACCTTCATGGGGAGGGCTGGGAGTCCTATGCATTTGGAAACAGGGCGTTCAACAGAAAGCCGCCAAATACGCCAAATACGTGTTCCTGCATCAAAAGATGTTGGGGAGAAGAAGTTGATACTTCAAAGAACTTCCATTTTTATTACCTTGTAACTGTCAAAGACCAATCAATGTAAGTGACTATTAACCCTTCTCTTACTGGCTGCGATGGAGAGCCAACCTAGAACTGTGTAAAGTGACCGCAGTGTAATGCAATCATCATGGTAACAAGAGCTCCCTTTTTGGCGTGTGCCCTGTGCTTCTGGCTCTTTCCCCTGGCAGTGTGCTCCAAGTGGAGTATTCCCAGCAGTCTGGGAGTCCTCTTTTTAGGCCTCTGTTTCCTGAGGCCACAACCCACCAGAATTGAATTCTTCTTCAGGGTCAATTCCTCCACTCTGAAGAAAGTAACACCTGTTAAATGATACTATTAGGAATCAAAGCCTAGGTTTTTGTTTGTTTGATCAGTAACATATATTGTTCTGAGAATCTTTGTCTGTTAGAGCTGAAAGGGCCCAGTGACACCGTGTTAAAGGTACATGGAGGAACCTTCCTCAGAGTTCTGTTCAAATCCACATGTCTGGATCACCACCCTCCCCCACCGCCCCTGACTAGAAGCCAATTCCATAAGCTGTGGTATGTCTCACCATGGGTCTTTTATAAGTTCCACAAGTGACTCTGGTCTCTTATAAGCTCCCCAAGTGACTCTGAGATGTCCCTAAGTTGCGAACTGCTAATCTGAACCCTCCTTTAATTGTCACAGAGGAGGAAAACAAGAGTCAGAAAAGTTAGATGTCTGATCCAAGTCCACCAGCCAACTGTTACTGAAGGACACCTGCTTCCTGGGTCAGCACCTTAATATAGTAAAATATGCTGCCAGGTTTGCATGAAAAGATAATCCAGGTGAAGTGCTAAAGACTCAGACAATTTTCATGTCTGTCAAATTCACCTGAATGGACTTAGTGAACAAGTTGAGTGAACAGGCCACAAAGTGGTTCTTGGAAAAATATGAGAGCCCACTAGGTGATTTTTAGTTTGAGTGCTCTGTGGGCTAGCATTTTTCTGAAGTACTATAGAAAAGCCAGAGTTTTAAATGGACCAAGAGATTTTAATAAACCAAGCAGGTTTGACATTAAGCAGTAATGAAAGACATTCTCTTTCCAAAAAATACCAGCAATGCAATATGCCCAGGCCTTCAGTTAGTCCTTCCTGGATTAAAGTCTGCAAACTCAGCTCTTTGGGCTTTGAGGCAAGTACATTTAATTTTCAGCTGGGAAGTACATTTAAAATTAACCTTTACCTATTCCCCAGAGTGGCATTCCTATCAGGCGCCCAGATATTATTTTCCTCTGTTCTTCATCCCCTTGGCCATTTCTGGAGCAATAAGCACAGCGGAAGAGAAGGGACCCTTTGGTTCTGCCTCTTCCATTGTCCTTACTAATTGATATTTAAGTGATTACATAAGGAATGACTTGTTCTCACTAGCTCTACACTTAATGAGATCGCAACTACTTACCAGAGCCCTTGATAAGTGACATTTCTTTTGCTCTTGCTTTTCAGTGCACTCTGAAAAATATTTCAAATATTGATTTGCATTTAATAGAAGTGCCCCCACCCCATTTGAATTTTTAAAACCAGGGTGTAAAGAATGTGAATTTGCATTTGTTTGACAGTGCAATCTTGTAATTAGAGTGTTTCCTCTTGACTAGATACAGTGAAAGGGGCATAATTTAATTTTTATAGACTAGCCAATTTCTGCCCTTACTAAAATATAGCTCTGTCAGTGAGCAAAATGTTACAGGTTCTCCTAAACCTTATTTAAAAGTTAAATGCAGTATATTGAGAGAAAGTTCATGGTCTGAATCAGTAACCTAATCGATCTCTTCACCCATCCTTTGCAACATGCATTAATCTATTTGTCTGTTTTGCAATACCATAGTTACTGATTTATATGCCATGTTGCCTCTGCATTGTGGCTGTATAAGCAATGGTGACTCTCCTTTTGGATTAGTTAGTTGCTTGTTAGGTTGAGCAGGGATGGCTCCATGCCTCGAATAGGTTAATTTTATGCACTATTTTCTTATGAGCTAAATAAAGGAAAGCAAGTAAGAAATTGATGTCCCTAAAATAATCAGTCCTCTACTCAGAAAGAAATGGAAAGCTAACCATGGCCCATGTTTTCTTATGTCTATGCTCTGCTTAATTTCATCAGAATTTAAAATATTAGGCTCTAACAGATTCATACATAGAGAACAGGCTGACTGCTGTTGGAGGTGGGGGGCTGTGTGGAAGTGGTGGAGGGATTGAGCAAAAAAGACAAAGAACTTGGGGGGGTATGTGAGGGGGGACGACGGGATGGGGGAATAAATGGTGATGGAGGGAGAATTGGTGTGGTGGACACACAATATACTGTACAGATTATGTGTTGTAACGTGTACCTGAAACCTGTATAATTTTGTTAACCTGTCACCCCAATGAATCCAAAAATATATATTAGGCAACAGTTTGTCATTGAGGTGGGTTTGACAGGCAGAAGTGCCAGTTCTGCTAATCAATATTACATCATAATCTGTTTACACTGGGATTCTCTCCTTTAGGTGTGCACATGCATTCATGGCATGCCTACTTTGGTGCGTATAGTTTTACATTTTTGCCTGTACAGACGCTCTTCAACTTACGATGGGGTTTTGTTCTAATAAACCCATTGTAAGTTAAAGATACTGTTAAATTGAAAATGCATTTAATACACGTCACCTACCAAATGTCATAGCTTAGCTACCTAGTTTCTACTGAACATGTATTGCTTTTGCACCATCAAAAGTAAAAAAAGAAAAAGAAAAGAAAAAAAAAGAGAAAAAATCCTAAATTGGACCATTATAAGCTAGGGACTGACCATCTGTATATATTTGCGTACACATATATAATTCTTTTAAGAAAAATGAAATTAAGTCCCCCCTTCTTTGCAGATGTTCA